GTGTGTGTGTGTGTGTGTGTGTGTGTGTGTGTGTGTGTGTGTGTGTGTGTGTGTGAGGATAGAAACACACTCTGCTGTAGTTGATAGTCTTACGCTGCTCATGATCCTGTACTAGCATGCTGCCTTTAGCGCTACCAGCTGTTTTTCTAGCCGTCTGTAGGACACTGGTCTGTCAGGAGGCATACGCCGCTGGTGTTTGTAGACTGATGTAAACAGGTTACGCAACTTTACATGCACAATGTCACACGGCCGATGATCTTCAAGCGACTCGGTGTCTCTAAAGTGTCTCCTTGTCTCTTTTTTTTGTCCAGCAAACATGGCCGTCCCTCCTGCATACGCTGACCTCGGCAAATCTGCCAAAGATATCTTCAGCAAAGGATACGGTGAGTGACTTTACAGAGCCACATTACTGCCAAACGTATCACAAACCTGAACTATTCAGTGTTGTTTCAGCGAGATTTCTGTATATAGATTTCTGTATCGTGATAGTGACACAACAGAATCAATACTGACCTTCTGACAGATGGACAGTGGGTTCAGGTCAAAGGTTAAACGACAGGAAAGAGTTCTAGAAGAAATAGGCCATTATTTTCCTTCCCAGAGTCTCGTGGGAATCCTAATGCTCGCTGGAAACACGGACATTCACACACATTCAGTTAATCTGGGAGTGTTTAAGAGAGTCTTGCTCCTGCAGTTTGTAGAATTAGCTCAAACACTGATGTATATGCATTTAAGTATCTGATTGGATATGTTGCTTAAATTTAAATGCATTAAAAATCAGTCATTATATGATCGATCCCATTGAGGTGTGATGCATTTGCAGGGTTATTATTATAGATAACTAAAACAATAAAATAAAACAAAATTAAATATAAAATTTAATTAAATTAAATTAAATTACAAATTAAATTAAATTAAATATAAAATAAAATAAAGTTATTTTATTTATTATTACCGGTACTTATTTTATTTCAACTAGTTGCCAAGACAACTTTCCTCAATTTAATTTAGTTTAACTTGATGCACTAAAATAACTAAAAAAAAAACTGAAATAAAAACTAAATAGAAATATAAAAAACGAATAAAAATGACAAAACACACAATAAAATGACTAAAGTTAAAAAATTAATAACTAAAATTAAAATGAACAATATAAAATATATATAATATATAACATCTATAATAAGCTATAAAACTATAATAGTATCTCAGCACTTTTGTACGTTGCTCTCGAGCGCAGTGTCTGATTTGATATGATTCAAAATAATAACATGAATGTTTAACATGTTAATTCAACATTTTCTTTTCTCAGGTTTTGGAGCTGTTAAGTTGGACCTGAAGACCAAGTCTCAGAGTGGAGTTGTGAGTTGCTTTTTTCTCTCTGTTTCTTCACTAATCAGTGAAGTACCATGGTACACGTCGAAGTGTCATGCCATTACCATCTGATATCTGCACTGTGTACTTGTATGTAAGGGCTATTTTCCTCATCACTCTTGCTCTTTTTTGAATGTAGTTCATGTTTACTTGTGAACATCCTCTTCCAGATGTTCAGTATGTAGATTCAGTGAGCTGTGTGTGTGTGAC